GGCATTCATTTCTCACCTACCCTCTCTGTAAGAAAGGATCCATCCGGGTATTCAACGTGTGATTTAACTATTTTCTGAACATTGCATGCTTGATTTAAACAACCGTGGGTGGTCTGGACCCCTGGACAAGTATGTTTGGGACATGTGGCCAGGGCAGCAAGCCTCACACTGGTGGTTGTATGTTAAGAGTGGATAAACGTGGGCTTCGAAGTGAAGATCACCTTGGTTCCAATATTGCCTCCATTAATTCTTAAAAATTTTAACTAATTATTTTAAAATTGTGGTAGACTATTGTCTACTACAGCCCCTGGGATCACCATTCTACTTTCTGTCTCTTTGAATTTGACTACTCTAGGGACCTTATGTAAGTGGAACTGTACAGTAGTTGTCCTTTTATGACTGGCTTATTTACCTGGCACATTCATCTCAAGGTTCGCCCATGCTGTAGCAAAGGACAGAATTTCCTTCCTTTTCAAGGCTGAATAATATTTCATTGTATTGATACACCACATTCTGTTTATCCATTCATCTGTTGATGGTCACTTGGATTACCTTCTACCATTTGGCTATTGTGAATAACACTGCTTTGAACATGGGTGTGCAAATATCCATTGCCTTTAAAACTGTGTACTCTTGGGGAAATTACTTAACTTGTGTGAAACTCTATTTCCTCAAATGAGAAAATGGTACCAATAACACTAACCTCATTGGTAGTGTGGATTAAAAAGCATTTGAGGTAAAGCTCCTAACACCAAGACCAACACATATCGACCACCTAATAAGTGATCTCTGGCCCTCTCCCTCCTGCTCATTGCCCCATCCTATTTTTCTCATGTCTCCTAGAGACACAGAACAAGAATTGAGAACTGAAACTACAAAGCTAAGTTATAACAGAGTGAATGAAGCAGTGTGGGGAGAGGAGCTGGGGCCCATGAAGTGCGGTGGGTGCTGGTCAGACATTCTCCCTGTTGTTCGTGTCCCTTGACGTGTGCAGTAACTCCCCCACCATGTAGGGATAAAGCCACATGGCAGGTGCAAAGGGTTCCGAAGGTTCCATAACTATCTCAGCTGCTAAGCACCCCACTGCAAATGTCCCATTGTTCCTCAGGAGAGAGACGCTTTACATTCTCTGTGGTTCTGGGGCAGAGGTAGGAACAAAGGGTAGAAGAGAGCAAAGAGAGGCAGTTTTTGACTAAATGTGAGAAAGACTGTAAAACACAGAGCTGTCTGACAACGGAATAGGGTGCTTGGGAAGCAGGAAGTATTCCAGGAGAGATGGGAGGGTGAACCCCTGGGCTGGTGGAAGAAGGACTCAGGAATGGGTTGGGAGGCTGACGCTTATGATTTCTAATGAGAAAGAAAAGCACATGTTATACTGAGTGAAGCAAGTCGGACAGAGAAAGACAAATATCATATGATATCGCTTATATGTGGGATCTAAAACAATGGTACAAATGAACTTATTTACCAAACAGAAATAGAGTCACAAATGTAGAAAATAAACTTATAGTTACCAGGGAGGAAAGCGGGGAGGCACAAATTGGGAGATTGGGATTGACATATACACACTACTGTATATAAAATAGATAGCAATAAGGACCTACTGTGTAGCACAGGGAACTCTACTCAATACTCTGTAATGACCTATATGGGAAAATAATCTAAAAAAAAGTGGAGATATGTATCCACTTTGCTGATCCACTTTGCTGTACAGCAGAAACTAACACAACATTGTAAACCAACTGTACTCCAATAAAAATAAAGATACAAATATGAAAAACAAAGAAAAGCAGAGACTCAGTACCCAAGCATCTCTCACTGAGACATTTCTTAAAGCGAGAGGAAAAACAGGAGAAAACTTCTGGAGGAGCCAGGAGGGTAGAAACAATCCACAGCAGCTTAAAACCTGCTCATCACATTTTTCCCCTCTGCATAAACGGCAAGGTGGGAAATTTTGTGCACAGCCACCTACCCCTTCTGGCCAATCTGGGTGACCCGGAGGTCCTCGCCATACTTGTTCTTGATCCATTTGATGCCTTGTAGCTGAGGGTCCACCATGAGTGGCCAGCGCTCGCAGCTGAGGAGGATGGTGGTATTCTCCGTGGACATGCGGTCTGCAGGGAGGCCCTCGTTCTGCCAGGCAGCCACATCGGCATCATCCGTCAGCATCCTCAGGGGATCTAGGTTGGGGGTCACTGGGATGGGAACCTGGTGGCGAAGAAAGGCCACACACGCTCAGAACAGAAGCATGCGCTCTCAGTTGGGGGTGGGGTGTGGCGCTCACTCAAAGGACAGAACTCCTCTAAAAGAAAGACCAAAATCCCCCTGAGGAGCACTTTCCTGGCTGTGTCGTTATTCCTGGAAGCAGGTTTTCTTAACGTCCTGATAGTCTTTTTTCTCTTGATGGATGAACAGCAGCAGAAATTCTGCCCGTGTCATCCTCTGCTCTTCAGTACATTCACCCAAGTCAAATGTCTACCACAGATCATTTGTATCTTAATCAACAGCCTCCATCGCCCTTACCCACGTTAGCAGGGTCACTTCCTGCTACATTTCTATGCTTCACAGACCAGGCCCACACCAGCCCGTAGTGACCACCCTCTCCTCTCAGCATCACCACCTGCTGCTGATGCCCAGCTTGCAAAGGACGGCAGACGCTCCCCTTCCCCCTGCCATGGACAACCCCACTCCCTGGAAGGGCTGCTTGAGGACTTCCCCCCACACTGGGAGGCCCAGGAACAAACCACCAGGCCTGGGAATGTCTCCCCTTGGTCTCTGTCCCCCCTGGGAACCCTTCCTTTTCTTCTCGTTGACCTCTCTCAACTCATTTAATTCTTCGACAAGTAATTGTTTTCATTGGAAACACATATACTTTTTAAAACACTGGGGTAAAATTCACATTCCCTAACCATTTTAGAGTGCACAAGTCAATGGTATTTAGTACGTTCACGATGTGCAACCATCAGCTCTATCTCGTTCCAAAACATTTTCTTCACCCCAAAAGGAAGCCCCAAGTCTATCAGCAGTCACTCCCTATTCCCTGCTACCCCCAGTTCTTAGGAGCCTCTAATCTGCTTTCTGCCTATATGGATTTACCTATTCTGGATGTTTCACATAAATGGAATCATACGATACGTGACCTTTTGTGTCTGGCTGCTTTCACTTAGAATGCTTTTGAGGTTCACACATATGCCCTTTAACCTCTCCAATTTTCTCTGCAGTTCGTCTTCTCAGTTACCTCAGGAAAACCTCTCCAGACCATCTCCTTTCCCTTTAATTACACCTGCTAAGGGTACGAATGGCCAGTGCTATACCTTCGAGCAAACCTCAAAGGCGAAACCAGCCACTGGAGGTTCTTATCCTGGGATCAGAAGTGTATTTCAATTCAATTGTTTTCCTTTGTAATCATATGCATTCTACTTTATACACTAAAAAACATTACTGTGAGAAGGATTCCATAGGTGTTACCAGACTGCCAAAGGGGTCTGTGGCATAAAAATACTTAAGAATCTTAAGATGGGTCACAAATCAAGCCTTGGTAAATTTAAGAAAATTGAAATCGTATCAAGTATCTTTTCTGACCACAATGCTATGAGACTAGATTAAATTACAGGAAAAATACTGTAAAACATACAAACACATGGAGGCTAAACAATATGCTACTAAATAACCAAGAGATCATTGAAGAAATCAAAGAGGAAATCAAAAACTACCTGGAAACAAATGACAATGAAAACACAATGACCCAAAACCTATGGGATGCAGCAAAAGCAGTCCAAAGAGGGAAGTTTATAGCAATACAATCCTACCTCAAGAAACAAGAAACATATCAAATAAACAACCTGACCTTACACCTAAAGCAATTAGAGAAAGAAGAACCAAAAAACCCCAAAGTTAGCAGAAGGAAAGAAATCATAAAGATCAGATCAAAAATAAATGAAAAAGAAATGAAGGAAACAATAGCTAAGATCAATAAAACTAAAAGCTGGCTCTTTGAAAAGGTAAACAAAATTGATAAACCACTAGCCAGACTCATCAAGAAAGAAAGAGAGAAGACTCAAATCAATAGAATTAGAAATGAAAAAGGAAAAGTAACAACTGACACTGCAGAATACAAAAGATCATGAGACATTACTATAAGTATATGCCAATAAAATGGACAACCTGAAAGAAATGGACAAATTCTTAGAAATGCACAACCTCCCAAGACTGAACCAGGAAGAAATAGAAAATATAAACAGACCAATCACAAGGACTAAAATTGAAACTGTGATTAAAAATCTTCCAACAAAAGCCCAGGACCAGATGGCTTCACAGGCGAATTCTATCAAACGTTTAGAGAAGAGCTAACACCCATCCTTCTCAAACTCTTCCAAAATATAGCAGAGGGAGGAACACTCCCAAACTCATTCTACGAGGCCACCATCACCCTGATACCAAAACCAGACAAGGATGTCACAAAGAAAGAAAACTACAGGCCAATATCACTGATGAACATAGATGCAAAAATCCTCAACAAAATACTAGCAAACAGAATCCAACAGCACATTAAAAGGATCATACAACACGATAAAGTGGGGTTTATTCCAGGAATGCAAGGATTCTTCACTATATGCAAATCAATCAATGTGATAAACCATATTAACAAACTGAAGGAGAAAAACCATATGATCATCTCAATAGATGCAGAAAAAGCTTTTGACAAAATTCAACACCCATTTATGATAAAAACTCTCCAGAAAGTAGGCATAGAAGGAATTTACCTCAACATAATAAAGGCCATACATGACAAACCCACAGCCAACATCGTCCTCAATGGTGAAAAACTGAAAGCATTTCCACTAAGATCAGGAACAAGACAAGGTTGCCCACTCTCACCACTCTTATTCAACATAGTTTTGGAAGTTGTAGCCACAGCAATCAGAGAAGAAAAGGAAATAAAAGGAATCCAAATCGGAAAAGAAGAAGTAAAGCTGTCATGTCACTGTTTGCAGATGACATGATACTATACATAGAGGATCCTAAAGATGCTACCAGAAAACTACTAGAGCTAATCAATGAATTTGGTAAAGTAGCAGGATACAAAATTAATGCACAGAAATCTCTTGCATTCCTATACACTAATGATGAAAAATCTGAAAGAGAAATTAAGGAAACACTCCCATTTACCATTGCAACAAAAAGAATAAAATACCTAGGAATAAACCCACCTAAGGAGACAAAAAACCTGTATGCAATAAACTATAAGACATTGATGAAAGAAATTAAAGATGATACCAATAGATGGAGAGATATACCATGTTCATGGATTGGAAGAATCAGCACTATCCAAAGCAATCTACAGATTCAGTGCAATCCTTATCAAACTACCAATGGCATTTTTCACAGAACTAGAACAAAAAATTTCACAGTTTGTATGGAAACACAAAAGAACCTGAATAGCCAAAGCAATCTGGAGAAAGAAAAACAGAGCTGGAGGAGTCAGGTTCCCTGACTTCAGACTATACTGCAAAGCTACAGTAATCAAGACAGTATGGTAGTGGCACAAAAACAGAAATATAGATCAATGGAACAGGATAGAAAGCCCAGAGATAAACCCATGCACCTATGGTCACCTTATCTTTGACAAAGGAGGCAAGAATATACAATGGAGAAAAGACAGCATCTTCAATAAGTGGTGCTGGGAAAACTGGACAGCTACATGTAAAAGAATGAAATTAGAACACTCCCTAACACCATACACAACAATACACTCAAAATGGATTAAAGACCTAAATGTAAAGCCAGACACTATAAAACTCTTAGAGGAAAACATAGGCAGAACACTCTATGACATACATCAAAGCAAGATCTTTTCTGACCCACCTCCTAGAGAAATGGAAATAAAAACAAAAATAAACAAATGGGACCTAATGAAGCTTAAGAACTTTTGGACAGCAAAGGAAACCATAAACAAGATGAAAAGACAACCCTCAGAATGGGAGAAAATATTTGCAGATGAAACAACTGACAAAGGATTAATCTCCAAAATATACAGGCAGCTCATGCAGCTCAATATCAAAAAAACAAACAACCCAATGCAAAAATGGGCAGAAGATCTAAATAGAAATTTCACCAAAGAAGATATACAGATTGCCAACAAACACATGAAAGGATGCTCAACATCACTAATATTTAGAGAAATGCAAATCAAAACTACAATGAGGTATCACCTCACACCAGTCAGAATGGCCATCATCAAAAAATCTACAAACAGTAAATGCGGGAGAGGTTGTGGAGAAAAGGGGACCCTCTTGCACTGTTGGTGGGAATGTAAATTGATAGAGCCACTATGGAGAACAGTATGGAGGTTCCTTAAAAAACTAAAAATAGAGCTCCCATATGACCCAGAAATCCCACTACTGGGCATATACCCTGAGAAAACCATAATTCAAAAAGAATCATGTACCACAATGTTCACTGAAGCTCTTATTTACAATAGCCAGGACATGGAAGCAACCTAAGTGTCCACTGGCAGATGAATGGATAAAGAAGATGTGGCACATATATACAATGGAATATTACTCAGCCATAAAAAGAAATGAAATTGAGTTATTTGTAGTGAGGTGGATGGACCTAGAGTCTGTCATACAGAGTGAAGTAAGTCAGAAAGAGAAAAACAAATACCATATGTATTATATATATGGAATCCAAAAAAAAAAAAATGGTTATGAAGAACCTAGGGGCAGGACGGAAATAGAGATACAGACCTACTAGAGAATGGACTTGAGGACACAGGGAGGGGGAAGGGTAAGCTGTGACAAAGTGTGAGAGTGGCATGGACATATATACACTACCAAACGTAAAATAGATAGCTAGTGGGAAGCAGCCGCATAGCACAGGGAGATCAGCTCGGTGCTTTGTGACCACCTAGAGGGGTGGGATAGGGAGGGTGGGAGGGAGGGAGACACAAGAGGGAGGAGATATGGGGATATATGTACATGTATAGCTGATTCACTTTGTTATACAGCAGAAACTAACATACCATTGTAAAGCAATTATACTCCAATAAAGACGTAAAAAATTAAATTGCTTAAGAGCCGCAAACAAAGCCAGAAAAACCCTTGCTGGGCGGCCAGTGGGCTCCTCGTCTTCATTTGCTCAGCTAATGATCGTCCTTTCCAAAATTTCCTTTTCCACAAGTGTTGAAGGAGAATAAATAACAGTTTTATCTTTTGTTTATTTCCCAATGCTGTAAGTTTTTAAACCACTGTTCAGCAAATCGTCAGGTGAATGAGATTTTATGAGCTGATCTGTTAAGCCAACCACCACTAGACGGTATGGGCTTTGTGTTCCAAGGAAACACCTACAAAGGAATTCTAGAATATAACCCTTACTGTACGTGGTGAACTTTCTGTGCTGACTCTCACGGCAGCTGTTTTTTATGACTCTCATCTCATCCACTGGACTCTGTTCTGCCAACATCCTGGTCTTGAGCGTCTTCTGTACCTCCTGCCAGTGGCGTGTAGGGTAGGCTGAAGACTCAGTGAATATTTGTGCATTGAGGACTGTGAGTGATGTGAAAGTGTCAAGATGTAACACATCCTGAACCCTCTTCAGCTGGGAACTAGCATCTCCCCATTTCATCATGTCAGCGTAGAGGGAGGAGTTGGGAGTAACGTCCTCCCACTCACACTGAGAACTGAGTACACATGACCAAAGTAGATAAGCTGCTTTCATAAAGCGTGTCTGTGGGCCACAGAAACAGGGGAGCTTTGGGGTCCTGTAACAAGGTGCGGTGCAGCATTTAGGGAACGCTCCTCCACTGCTGCTATGAAGTTTGGCACAAGAGCAGGAAGGCTGGAGGGAGATACAGGATGTGTTTGGGGCCTCTCGGGTTTTATAGTTTTGAGGAGTGTCAGGAGACAGCCTGGGGGCGGTGGACCAGAGTTCCCATGGAGACCTAGGAAGAGGAGAGGTGCCGTGCTCAGGTGGCCTGGACGGCAGTGGAGGACAGTGCAGGGCAGTGTGGGAGGACATGGGCGCACAGGTATCCCTCCTGGGTCTCAGTGGTCACTAGGGGATACTCAGGTGGCCGTGGGGGGAAGAACGCAAGTAGGGACTCAGAGGTTTGGGTTATTACTGTCACATGAGCTCCCTGGTCCCCACAGGCTGGTGGCGTCAGGACAGATGCGGGCTGGACTTACCTGCAGCTGGCTCAGGTAGGGTCTCCAGGTCCCATCCATGAGGTTCTGCCGATATTTCTTTGTAAAGAAGCCCAGGTATGAAATGAAAGCCGCAGTAAGTAAAACGTCCCCACATAATTTCCTTTCCTGTTGTTTGAAGTTCTGCACAGCTTCTGTCCACCTCACGTTTTCAGAGGCCAGTCCTCCCACCTATCATTTCAAAGAGCAGAGAGGGGAGAAGACACGTCATACCACAGGCTACAGAGCCACGATTCAGCCATGGAGAATGCATGGCACACGCTTCACAGCAGGAGGCTCAGGACATCATTTATGTGGCCCTTCTGATCAATGGGGGTGGCGGCGGTTTGTACCGGCTGCAGCGAACACTGCAGTCAACGAGCCCCTGTTCTCTGCTCTGTGTCACGTGGGCTGTGGAGAGACAGGTCCTGAATGCAGCCTTCCAGGCTCTGCCCTTGACAGGTGTGGAGATGAATATGCGCACCTCGAAGAGGCGTGAAGAGGATTTAGTGTGGCCGTGTGTGCTCCTCACTTGGTACCGTGTCTGATCCTCAAAATGTAACAGAAAATCATGTGCCTCTCTCTTCTCCTCCAAATGCTGGAGATGTGAAAGTAAATAAAATCAGGTGCACTATAAATAATTCACAGTGGGTGGGGAGATCGGCGTGGTAATTAAGACATGGAGCCAGATGCACTGAAATACGGGTGTGTGCAAAGTACCAAGACTGCAGAGCAGGGCCCGACTCTGCAGGGCCCACGTTGGGGGGCGCCCTCTCCCAGAGGATAGACACTGTCTACAGAGGACTGTGAGGTGGGCTGTTCAGTGAAGTTCGGCTTCTGTGCTATGATTGATTCCTTTTTCTTCCTGGAAAGATGGCATCCTAGGATGTCAGAGCTGGGAGACCTGAGGGACTTGCCCACCGACCACTCCCACGCCATCTTAGATCACACAGATAAAGGCCAGAAAGTCGAAGTGTCCTGTCTTCTGACACTTCAACCACCCCAGGTTGGTGGGGGCAGGGATGGCTTCAGAGCTGCCCTGTCCTGAGTCCTAGAGCAGAGCTCCACCTGCCTCCTACGAGGACCAACGCAGAAAAGGCTCCAGCCAGGCTGAGAATGGCCGCGCAAAATTCTGGAAACCAAACAAGGAACTGAACGGAAGACAGGCCAGCGGGTAGGTCCTGACTGCTTCCTGCACGTTAGTGGACGAGCTGTTGCTAGACCACACCATTCAGTGAAGACGATCATCCCAAAGCTCTGCAGCAGCAGGTTCAACAAACAGGGCACAGACACACCTGAGGCTTCACCTCTTGTTACTGGAGCACGACCGATTCGGTGACTGTTATGACTAGTTTCTCCCTGAACTAGGAAACCTGGCTTTGTTATATACATAAATGGGGGCTGGAATAAGTGTGAAAAGGGATCGATTCCACTTCCTTTCATTGGGGAGGAAGGTGCTGTAAAAGGCTCTCGATAAAGAGAAATCACATCCCGTGGACACTGCTTTGCAGCCTCTTAGCTGATTCATGATGAGAAATATAAACCATGGGGGATTAAAAAGGCTACACATCCCCTGACACTCCTCTCATCAGGAGCTGGTGTCTGTGCTCCCTCTCCCTGGATCTATCACTGCTTTGACCAGTAGAACGCAGAGGAAGGATGTTGAGCTGGCTTTTGGTCCCAGGCCTTAAGAGAGTGGGACCTTCTACTTCCTGCCCTTGGAACACTTGCTCTTAGAGCCCTGAGTGGCCGTGTAAATGACTGTCCTGCTGGAGAGACCAAGGTTATGGTCAGCAATGTTCAGGGTCAACCATCTGTCTTGTTCTTTTCTGCTTCTATCTCAGTGCCTCATCCTGTCCACACTCTTATTATCAAATATCCCACAGGTAAGAGCTTCAGGGTTTGCCTGTCGAATGCTAGCTTTGTCCCTGAATGCTCCCTCTGGCTGATGCACTTGTATGTAAGCACGTCACACCTCTCGTAAGCTTCCTGATCCATCCAGTGCCCCATCCTCCCGAACATCCCTGTGGGAAATCTCCTTTGACCAGACCAGGGTGTGCATTCACGCTTTTCTCAGGAGTCAGTCCCTGCAGCCCAGAGCATTTTATTATTTGCCCCCGAGTCAAAGCGGCACTCAGCTGCTCATCTATTAATATTTTGCACCTCTGTGGCACCTGACAAGCTCAGCTCGTGTAATTAAAGCCCGCCGAAGAGGTTCACACTCACCAGGCGGTTTGCAAGGGAGATGGTGCCTGCAGTCGCTTCAGCTTCTTGCTGACATTTGAGTTTGTCAGCTGTTGCTTTCTCAAACTTGGCCGTGAGTTTGGCCAGGTTTTCATTAAGGTGCTGTTTAGGAAGGAACACAACGTCTGTCAGTAGTTCCAGTGCTTCAGAGATAGGGTTCACGGGTAGGGGATTTCTAAGGAAGGCCTCCTGGGGGCAGCTGTAAGGGACTGGGGAAGGCGGGCAGGGAGGGGAAGGAAGGCAAACTAGGGGGGCCCTCACGTGGATCCCAGTGGAAGTCCAGAGGGTCCCGACGCAAGTGAGAGGACTGAGCTTTTCTATCCAGCACCTCAGTCATTGGTCCAGGACCAGGAGGGGTGACGGACAAGGAGGGAGAGGCTTAAATTCTGTCTCTCCCTGTATTGGGGAAAAGGGGTTCCAGTAGCCTGACAAAAAAGTACAAGTGCTGCTTTTAGAAGCAAAATCTCACTGAAGCCTGGGGAGGCCTGAAAATGGCCAGTAGGATCCCAGGGTGGGGGTGCTGGGAGGAGCACACACCATCTGCTGCAGCTGGTTCGTGGGTTGGAATTGGGCTGTCTGCAACCTACGTCCGCCCTTTGCTTTTTTTTTTAATTAAAAAAATAAATTCATTTAATTAATTAATTTATTTATTTATTTAGGCTGCGTTGGGTCTGTGTTGCTGCACACAGGCTTTCTCTAGTTGTGGTGAGCGGGGGCCATTCTTCGTTGCGGTGCATGGGCTTCTCACTGCGGAGTGCGGGCTCTAGGTGCACGGGCTTCAGTAGTTGTGGCTTGAGGGCTCTAGAGCGTAGGCTCAGCAGTTGTGGTGCACGGGCTTAGTTGCTCCACGGCATGTGGGATCTTCCCGGACCAGGAATCGAACTTGTGTCTCCTGCATTGGCAGGTGGATTCTTAACCACTGCGCCACCAGGATAGTCCCCTCCCTTTGCTTTAAGGTCCCAGGAGTGCAAGACAACTTCACTTGACCTCATCGATTCTCTCCAATTATCCCGAAGTAGAGGAACATTTTTTAAAAAGACACGGTTTCAATATTTTCTAAATTTATCAAGAATTTAGAATTCAAGTGCACAGTCTTTGCTGCCCCCATGATGCATATTTGCATACACAAAGACAGCTGGGCACATGGCAGACACCTCCGGATATGTCTCATGTCTATGCAATAACAGGGCTTCAGGCTGCTTTGTCAGTGATTCCCAAGTCACAAGAGGAAGAAATGAAGGGCCAAGTTTATATAGCCAAGCAGCTTAAGAACTAGGTGGTGAGCTATCCAATTAACAATGGCAGGCTGGCCACATTCATTTACTCTGAGACTTCTCTAAAATTGTTATGAAGCAATTTAAAAAGTCATAAGCCCATAACATCAAGCAAATATTGAGGGCCACTGGAGGGTGAGGGATTCCAATAGATCTATGGAAGACCACAGATAGAGCAGTGGAAAGGGCTGGAGCGGGGCAGAGGACACTGCAACGTAGAGCAGAAGCTGAGCAGCTCTGCAGAGCCTCACATACACTGGGGATTTGGAAATGTCAGGTGAGCTGCAGGGGGATGTTGAAAATAAGATGGTCAACTGGAAGCCTTTTGATCCTCCACCCCGCATCTCCATCCCCATGCAATGCCACCAGGCACCTGTGTCACCAGCAGGAGAGTCAACAGTGGCAGAGAAAGGATACCATGTTCTGGCATTTAAGACGCATCCAGCAAACTAATGCATACAGAATGGATAAACAAGGTCCTATTGTATATAGGGATCTATATTCAAAATCCTGTGATAAACCATAATGGAAAAGAATATTAAAAAGTATGTATATACATATATATATATAACTGAATCACTTTGCTGTAGAGCAGAAATAAATACAACAAGTAATAGGATGCATCCACCATAACTCATCCGATCTAGAAAACAAATTCTGCCAGTCTGCCAGATCTGCCCTTGTCTACAGAGCTATAGTCTGCTTTCGATCACTACTCTTGTAAACATGAAAGGACTAGAAGACATTTGATTAAAGCCTAGATTAAAGGTAAACAAGAAGGAAAAAATGACCTGGGAAGAAGAGAGAACTTCAGTCAAAAAAACAGCAGCAAAGCATAAAACCCTTCATAATTAGTTTCTCCGGGAGATTCAGGATGTTTCATCCATAAAATAAGAGGATGCTAATAAAAGGAAAAGAGAACAACAACAAAGAAAACTTGTGGAAATAATCTTTATTGTTAATGTAAAAAATAATAAATTCAATAAATTAAAAGATGAATTTGAGTAAATCTAGATAGAATAAGAAAGCATAAAGTGACAAAAAGATAAAAGAAAATAGATGACCCATCAGAAGGTCCAATACTCAACCAATATGCATTCCAGACAATGAGATTAAAAAGGAAACAGAAGCGGGTTTCCCTGGTGGCGCAGTGGTTGAGAGTCTGCCTACCGATGCAGGGGACACAGGTTCGTGCCCTGGTCCGGGAAGATCCCACATGCCGCGGAGCGACTGGGCCTGTGAGCCATGGCTGCTGAGCCTGCGCGTCCGGAGCCTGTGCTCTGCAATGGGAGAGGCCACAACAGTGAGAGGCTCCCCGACCGCAAAAAAAAAAAAAAAAAAAAAAAAAGGAAACAGAAGGGAGATATAAAATCACCTTGTGGAACTGAAGAAAATAAGTCTCTGCATGCCAAGCACAATGAATAAAAACAGAATGGCAGCTAAGCACATCAATGTAAAGTTTCAGACACCAAGAATAAAGAAAAAATTGAAAGACTTCCAGAAAGGCAGAAATACAGTGTATCCAGACTGTTCATCAGACTTCTCACCAGACAAAAAGATAAAGCATTCAGTATTCTAAGGGAAAAAATTAGCATCAGAATTTAATATGTAGCAAAATAGTCAATTCAGTTTAAAAATAAAAAGATACATCCAGACTGGAACATTAGAAAATTTACCTCTTATGTCACATTTCTGAGAAAGTTACTTAAGAACAAGCCATAGCAAAACGAGAGAAGAAATCAAGAAAGAAGCCATGGGGCCCAGAAGTCATTGGAACGAACCCAAGAGAGCAGTGAACGTGATTACTCTCCAAAACTGTTTGGAGCTTTGAGTTGGGGACAAGAGAGAAAAGTCTTGGGGGCAAAAGGGGACTCAGTAAAACACTGGATTGACTGGAGGGTTTTAAAAAATAAGGCTATGCCAAAAGAATTAACTGAAGAGAGAGAGAGGAAGAGGGAGAGAGAGAAGCAAGTCCAGGGGGAAAGGTATGTAAGAAAGTAAGTATAACAGCACTGAGATCTTCTATGAACAATATAGACAGGTTCATAGAATATAAACAGAATTTACTGATTTTTTGAATCGGTCAGTGGAGAGAGCATGGGACAATTAATTCTGGTTACAGAACACAATGTAGATATGTTCAGTGCTGGTGATTCGAATGCAAAAGTAACGATAAATAATGATAATGAAGTTGGAGAGAGGAGGGAAGGGGATGAGCTGAAGGAAAGGGTAATAATTTCATCTTGAACCACTGAGAGCTCCAAGGAAGCGGCCTCCATATGACTGAACAAGAAGTAAAGGTCACGTCAGAAAAACATAGTTGCTGTAATGATGAGAGGACAGGGGATGAATGTCTTCAAGCCTCATATAGCAGAAAGTCAACTGCCTGAAGAAGATACATCAAGAATAGGGATGCAGGGCTTCCCTGGTGGCGCAGTGGTTGAGAGTCCGCCTGCCGATGCAGGGCACACGGGTTCGTGCCCCGGTCTGGGAGGATCCCACATGCCGCAGAACGGCTAGGCCCGTGAGCCATGGCCGCTGAGCCTGTGCGTCTGGAGCCTGTGCTCCGCCAATGGGAGAGGCCACAGCAGTGAGAGGCCCACGTAATGCAAAAACAAAAACAAAAACAAAACAAGAATAGGGATGCAGGGGCTTCCCTGGTGGCGCAGTGGTTTAGAGTCCGTCTGCCGATGCAGGGGACGCGGGTTTGTGCCCCGGTCCGGGAAGATCCCACATGCCGCAGAGCGGCTGGGCCCGCGTGCCAGGGCCGCTGAGCCTGCGCGTCCAGAGCCTGTGCTCCGCAACGGGAGAAGCCACAACAGTGAGAG